AACAAGAACAAGTGCTTGCTTGTGGTATCGTAATGCTTCTTGGTATCTCCCTAGCTTGCGGCAGGCATGGCCAAGGTTACTGAGCAGTGTCTCCCAAGTTTCTGAGAGAACTTCCCCGCTAGTGATCTGTGCTTTCTGGAGAGCTGCCTTGAAGTTCTTTTCTGCAGAAAGATAATCTCCATTTTGAAAGGCAATCACGCCCATCTCTTGCTTCACAAAAGGATCATCTGGTGAAAGAATTAAAGCCTGTTCAAAAAATCTCTCAGCCAGTTTTGCATTATTGGTTTTTCCATACTCCAGACCAATATAGAGAAGAGGCAGATGGCATCTTGGCATTAGCTTAGAAGCTGCAAAGTAAGCTGCCATTGCTTGATCATGCTCTCCTTCTGCTGCAAAAGCATGCCCAAATGCAAGCCATGCTGGTCCATAAACTCGTTCTATACTGGTAGCTTTGCTAAAGTACCTCCTAGCCTGCTCATACTTTTCAATGACATAGTAATAACAGCCAACTGCATACCAAGCGACAGCCTTTTGAGGATAGTTATCAACAAGCTTATGTCCAAGGTAGAATAGCTCATTCGTTTTCTTCAGTTCTACCAGGCAGGTGATATGAATGGGCAAGCAAGCCTCATGATAAGGATCAGACGTCAGGACAGCAGATGTCATCTTGTATGACTGATAGTAACTGCAGTTGTAAAAGTGCCGCTCAGCCATTCCAGCAACTACATCCAGGTTGTCGTACAGGGTTTCCAAACCAGGAGGTAGCTTTGGGTCAACAGGTTTGCAGTACCTCTTCACCTTGCCTTCGTACAAGAACTTCAACAAATCAACCTCTTCAGGCATGCATTGCTCTGAGAAAGGCAGGCAAGACAGCAACTCTCGTTCCTCCTTATCGGTCAGCATGTGATGAGAAACAAGCAGATCAAACGCTTCAAAACAATGCACGTCATTTTTGAGCGCATCTTTGAAACAATCTGTGGCTAAAGCTCGGTTATCCATAGCTTCATACACGAC